TTCGATTCGCATCGTACCGAAGGTGCCTCAATTCTTTTCCCCTTTCATCACAAAGGAGCCTGAGGGATTTCTCCTTGTCCAAGGTTTTCCTTAACCGGGCTTCACAACAAAGCAGCTCCGACTTGAGCTTGTCAAAGGCCTATGAAAAAGAAGCTCGATAAGAAGACAAAAACGTAAAATCAAGAGATTAACGGAGTCGACCAAAGCTTACCATAGAACAAAGTTGTTGAACCTCCTCAAAGGTCGAGCGCGCACTTGCTGGACTGGTCTCACCAGCCCCAGTTGAACCAATCTTGGTGGGGGCACAGTCGCTCGAGACCTCTCTTGATTTAGGCGGCCCCTGGTCTCAAACACCCCTCGAAGTACCTTTGACAGGGGGTGAAGGCGGCTCGGAACACCTGTATCCCTTGAAGTACCTTCGGCGGGAAATAAAGACAGCGGCATGAGAGGAACCACTTTTCCAAGGCTAGAAGCCTCAGATGCCGCAGGATCATCAGATACGTCTTCCTTGCGCCTTCGAGCAGGGCTTTCCTCGTTATGAGCACTCTCATTCTTCAAGGACCCCTTCCACTTGTTGTCGGTCCTCGACCCCAAAGCTGATGGTTCTTCCTCCTCCCCGAGGGGGCACTGCCTCATCTCAGAAAAATCTCCAATGCCTGCAGTGACAGAGTTAGTACACATAAAAGAAAGTACCTTTCAAAAGAATCAAGCCACACATCAACCATGATGTTTTGCCTCCCATCTACTCTTGGTCAGATCTCACCACTTACACTCATCGTAAGTCGAAAAAGCTGCCAGTTTCCGAGACCAATCCGCAAGGTCGGGAACCTCGTATGGCATCCATGGGATTGCGGCAAAAAGAAAAGGAAAGGAAAGCATCTTCACAAAGTCCGCCTTCACCATGGGCAAAAATAATAAGAACACAAGTGTACCACTTACATGTGAAATTCCATTTCTCAGGAAACGAAAGGAATTCTGCGGGGATAATATCGATAGTCCGCAATCGGATGAAACGACTCATCCACCCTCGGTCCTCATCTTCTTCATTGCTAACAACAAGGGCCGAGTGGATCGACATCTCTTAGTAATCAGGCCTCAACGATGCAAGGGCCGGTACATGCTTAGAAAATGACTGAGGGTGAACTCGAACCCGGCTTTATCTGCAAAATACCTTACTATCAGCACTATCTTCCAATATGACGGGTGAACCTGTGCCAGGGTAACCCGACATCTCCTACAAAATTCAATCACGACTCTGTCGAGGGGGCCCAACATAAAGGGGTACGTATACATGTTCAAAAACCCCTTGACATGAGCCATGATGCTCTTTTCCGGGGAAAGCACTTCCGGTACCACTTTTTCTCCCCATCCGCAGTTCTTTATAACTACCTCGAGGTGCTCCTCCTCTATTGAGAAAATAAACCTCGACGTATGCTCCCGATGACCCTGAACATTGGGAGGTCTCTCTAATGCAAAGTCTCTCCTTCTAACAAAGCACCTCGAAGGCAGCTCACCAGGTACCGGCGGTGTACCACCAACCGAGCGTAAAGTAGATGCGGAACTCTCCTCTCCTTGGTGAACGGGTTTTGACGTAGCAACCATGAAAGATAAAGGCTTGGGTGAAAACTTTTGAAATGGTAAGAGAACTAGCATAGAAAAGAGCTCTATAAAACGGATAACAGATCAAAATAGCGAAATCCTCAGAAAAGAAGGAAATAAACTCATATATAGGGCAAGCGACGACTGCCCGCTTACCCTGCAAGGCCAATTAATTCCAGCTAGGCCACTATCACTTTCGGGGAGACGTACCGGTGGGGTCACCTCGATCATTTCGTACGATAAATACTGACGTACAGCATGCGAAGGATCAAAACCCCCCACATCAACCAAACCTCGAGATGGTGCCCGATCTAGTGGATTTTTGTTAAAATGAAAATAGGCTCTAAGGAGCCATCAATTTCATTCTAAACCTCAAGATGGTGCCCAATCTCGAGGATCTCTGTCAAAATAAGAGTAGGCTCTAAGGAGTCATAAAAATCATTCTAAGCCTTGAGATGGTGCCCGATCTCGAGGATCTCTGTCAAAACGAAAAATAATCTCTAAGGAGCTATCCGTACAAGCCTAACCCCGAGTTGGTACCATATCTCGAGGGTTTCTACTATTACGAGCGCGGATCATTCACCCGATTCTTTGGCCCTACAGCCTTAGAACTGTTTTCGCCTTCAGATCAAGTTAAAACGCCCTCTCGATTACTTTAGTCCAGGGGCTACCCGAGTCCAGGCATATCCTCATCTAGGTTCTTTCAATAACTCCTTAGGGCTATCTTCACTCTAAGTTCAAATCAAATTTTTTAGGCCGCCCAAGCTCGAGCTAACTCCCACTCGGGGACTGTCTGTGAAAATCTTAGGGCTATCTTTATTCTCAGGCATTTGAGTGATTTCCCCCTCGAAAGCTATCAACAGGGCCTAAAAGGCTAAGTTTCGTTCTAAAATTTGAAGCCCTATTCCCACTCAATCCGAATTCGGGGGTCCCGACGGCCTAATCTTGCATCAGTTCAATTCGGGCTCAGTCCGAGGAACGGTAAAGGCCTCCAGGGGATATCATACTAATCAATCAGGAACCGAGCGAATACCTATGCTCGGGCCCGGTATTTGGACCGATCGGTGGAGTCATGTGCTCAGGTTCTTCACAAATATAAATAAAGGGAAATTCAGCACAAATCAGAGACAAATTGAAGAAACATTTTGTATAAATAAACGATGATCACAAAAACCCGTATAGGGTCCTTACACATGATTACAAATGCCCACGGAGGTTCCTTACAAAGAAAATAAAAAATAACGGCTAAAAGTCTAATCTACTCTCAAGGATGCATCTTAGGGAGCCATTTCTGCAAGAACCGTTCCCTCGGGGACCCATCTCGACCTTCCAAATGATGTCTTCAAGAACCCCTTCTGAGGCGGAAAAGAACAAAGAAGCAGAAAACGATAAAGAAGGAGAAAAATATGAAGAAGTGGCTGCGTGAAAAATTTGGCGATTATGGGTCTCGTCAGCACTACTATTGTGAAGCCACTTCTTGAGATGTTGCACCGGTGCGGGATGCAACAGTTAGTATATGGCACCACCTCACTCCACGAAAAACAAAAGGAGTGAAGCGCCGCACCAGGCAGTTAAGAGAGATGAGCAGAAGTTCATAGTCCCCATATCCTTTAATGCAAAGATAATTTGAGATTTTTCTCTCATTATTTCGGGCCAACAACAACAACAAACCAGTGCAAAACCACTCAGTAGGAGAAAGCTCTGGGAAAGGTCCATGGCGTAACTGATGAGAACACTGCCATGTGATCTTATGGCCACGGGCTTCAAACATGGGAAATAGCGTTGGATGGGTACGAAGAGAAGAAAGGAGTAAAAGGCTGTTGAAGAACGAAGTTTTGGTTCAAGAAAGCTTCCATATATAGAAAAGGTGGCAGTGTAACCGACGACGCAATCAATGTCTTTGGAAAACGTATCAACAAGCGCAATCAATGTCTATTGGGAGCCGCATCGGCAGCGATATTATCGCCCTGAGAAAGTAAACCTGCGCTACATTAAATGTTCCGAGGAAAGACGTATCGATGGGACGTCTCAGTTATCGCAAAAGCTGACGTTATAAGCATGACATCATCACAAGAGGCTCGAGGAGATCGGTGTCAAAATCATTTCTTATCATTTTAATGTAAGAAATGCGGGGACTATCTGTATACAGTAAAAATTAGAGGGCTCGACTTTATGATCATTAGGGCGCCTCGTAGAGACCACCCCCGGAAGGCTCGAAGTTTAGCTCAGAGTTCGCCTCTAAAGGTTCATAGTGATCGACCTCGAGGCAATGTAAAGCAACGGTTATGATGCACTAGCGGAAAGTTCCCAAGGCACATGATTAAAGCTGACCTAGCCTACCAGGCTAGTTCAAGCCCGTACAATGGCATTGAATGACTGTGCCAACCTCATGTCTTTTAATAAATGCACTTTGTACTATGTTATAATTTCCCTCATCTATAAAGGGGACCCTTGTCATTTTGTAAAGTCACAATATACTACACACTACATCCAATACAAGAACACTATCCGCTCTCTAACTTAAACATACTATCTTGATTCTATTACTTACATTTATTGCTTATATTCATTGTGTTCTATTTATTGCTCATTATTGGCCTTAAAAAGCCTCCATCAAAGCTCTCAAAACTGTTAGCCCTTCATCGGCCATTCATAGCTAAGTATCGAGCTCGACCTCGAGGCCCCATATAGTCAGACTCAAGGCTCCGATTCTCAGCCATTCGATTTGCTTAAACATATTATTCTCAAGTTCTTATCTCATTTTTTAGTCTCACACTTAGCATCTATTGCCTAACAACTAGCATAAAAACAGATCACGTATTTTTTGAACCACAAAATCAAATCTAATTGTAATTACCAGTTTCAAAGTAAACACCCAACAAGCCATTTGTCCTACACGTAATTCACCGGTTTTACAAGAACTGTCATTTGTTAAAGTGGAGCAGAATGCACTTTAGGCCTTTAGCCATGGAGCGAAATTAATAATTTACACAGCATGTAAGCAGTAATGTCCACCATAAGATAAAATTATGTAAATACTATTTTTCGAAATGGTTGAAGCAGCGTGGCTGGATAGAGGTAAAGGTTACGCTTTTTTTAAGAAGTTGATTCATGTATTGCAAAATTGTCTTTGATTGGTTGTAGCAACCTTCTTGATTAATCTCTGTACCGAACTTTATCCATCGATACTACATTTTGGGTTGTAGAGAAAATCTTGGAGTAATTGTTTTTACTTTTTAATCAGAAAGTATGGTAATGTTTATAGCTTAGCCTAGTCAATACAGAGGATTGAGGTCAAATCAGTCTGAACGATAATCGCTCTTCCCATCTAATCTGTTCAAGCATTCATGGCATGCAGAAAATTAAAAAATGTCACAAAATTCAAGCATTTGACAATCCAATAATTCACTGGATTTTCCAGAAGTCGGAAAATCAAACTTGGGTTTCTGATCATATAATTCATCTGTTTAAACATCAGAGCCTGTTTTGCAGATAATGATGTCAGGCAAAAGAGTGTATACATTTGATTTTACCCTTAGTTGTTCTATTCAATGCTTTAACAGAAGGCCTAGCATACACATGCTTTTGAATCATTTTGTTGCTTGTTTGCTTGATCAACAGAGGCTTGCTCCACCTTGCTTAGCTTAACTTGATGAATGATTCTTCTAGCCCAATCTGCAAAATAGGTTTCGTTGTGTCCAACCATCCCATCTTTATGAAAATGGAAGCACTGCAGATGATCTTGTGGAGATGGACACTCCTCGCCTATTGAATCCCACCATGCACCTTGATGTTTCATCCCTGATTGATTCGCCATCCAGTGGTGAGCATATTGGCCTGGGCCAGCATTCTCTAACCAACCCTTTGGGAAGAATTCCATTACACTGCTCTCCCGGTCCATGAAGAGCATATTAGTTAATTGTGCTCCATGTGGAGATGCAACAATGTCAGTGTTGGTCAGCACTTTAACCTAATAAAGGACATTGGCATTATTTCAGATGCTACTGAGGTTTCTATGCAGGGTATTATGAATCTTGTCGATGAATGTTTCTAGGTAAGCTTTAGTTGTATATTTTGTTCTGTAAAGTACTATTACTTCATCTGGAGCAATTGCTGAATACTGATAATAGAAAGGGAAAAATGTGTACCTGGCCGCAGAAAGATAAATCTTCTGACTGCACTACATGCAGAATGCAGCCTTCGACCCTTGCACATTCCTTTGCAAATATACCAGTCACAGCAGTTGCATTCTTGAATGAGCGAGAAGCTCTTCTCATCAGCAGTGTAAGTCTTATAATTGGAAATCCTCTTTCATTTAGCTCTCTACCTTTTCCTGCAGGATTAAGTCCACAGTAACTCCTAGCTTTGCAGCGGAGCAGGTCAAACACCTTCAGCTTAGTGTCCTGCCTCATTTGGCCTAGATCATGCCTCGTGACAATGGCTTTCTCAAAACAGTAAGGTACATCTCCTCTATCAAATCCTTCCACCTTGACCTCACCAAAATTCGCTTGCATAAGTTGTTGAATCCATGATCCCATTCTTAATCTCAGTTCTCCCCAATGGAATAGCACCCATCTTGATGGCTTCAAACATTCATTTTTCATTGACCATCTCACTAGATGGGCCATTGCAGATAATCCATGCCACAGATTTTGGTGGTCGTAATATGTGTCTGATACAAAAGTTAAGCCTTCCAGTAGAATAGCAGAGTCTGGAAGACCTTCTCGCCATGCCAACGCATATGAATTCTTTGTGCCATCCCTAATATCCCGTCCCTTAAAGCAAAGAAGCCGTCCTTTGGATGCCTTAGAAGGGAAATACAAGTGTTCTGCTTCATTTTCCTCAAGTGTGTCGTTCAAAGAGCTCATAAACCAGGTGTGGCCAGTTGTGGCCGTTTCTCTAAATCTAAGGTCCGTGAGGGGAAGGAAAGTGACAGAGTCTTTGAGTTCTGCAGTCATGGTCTCAATGACATCAGAGTTATTCTCTTGGGAAAGAAAAGCCCATCTTTGGGACGTTGCTGATAAGGTGAAATCAAAAGGGGATGAGTATTGAATGTGAAAGAGGATGAAAACCAGAAACAAGGAGGAAACAAAAATGCTGATGAATTTTGTGGAGAAGCATTTCTTCTCGCTTTGAGTGTAAGACTTGAGATGATCTTCCATATCCCTCAGTTAAGCTAAAGATGAATCTTTGTGACTGGCAAACAGAAGCACACTATTTCACCGACTATTACAAGCAAATCTATTCTCGAGATTGGAAATTAAATCTATATAAATAACTTAGTTGACGTAAAACTTGGAGTAATCACGTTAGCAATTCCTAGTCAGGTGATAAGCACATGATACAAGACTTAGAAAAGCAATTTCCGCATTGAGAATGAATGCTTTTCGAATATTTTAGTTCGAAGGCGAGCAGATTAAGGGTTTAAGGTCAGTGACAGAGCCGTGTTTCGCGTTAGTTTTATTGAAATCAGTACTTAATCTATAGTTTCGTCAAACTTGAATTAAATTCTTCACAGCTGATAAATACTTTATTAAGATCCAAGTAGTATTGCATAAGTTTCAGAGAAGAAAACCGTTTGCGCAAACAGGAAGATAACATGGGCAGATTCTCATCCAACAACACCACCTCAGATTCCGCCTCCGACTCTATAACGTCCTCTATCTTCATCTTCATCTTCATCTTCTTCCTCAAGTCCCCGTCTCCGGCGGAGGTTAAGCAGTTGGTTTCTCCATCGTCAAATTGCCGCTTCATCGGCAGCTTCTTCTCTTCCTCCGACTCTATAACTTGCTTCATCATCTTCATCAGCTCACCGTCGCCGGCAAAATTGGCNGTTAGTAAAAGTTACTCATTCGCAATTTTCTACTATAAAATATTTGTGATTTGAAGAGTGTTTGGTCTTCACTAACCCTACCGGTAATCTCATTCTAAATGTCATACTTAACACTATACTAATAGAAATAGTTGGTGTAATTTTGAATACTAGTTTTATGGTACGCGCGTTGCGCGTGTAACATATCTAAATGAGTATAAAGCTTTTACAAAACCATATAAACGATATTTGAATTATAAAGTAAAAGTGTAATTTATATTTAAAAAAATATTGATTTTATATAACTGACTCAATAAAGAATATCGATTTATACCTTCTTTAATTATGTTTTCTTTTTCTCTTTTAACTGTTTCATTAGATTGAGCTCATATGTCGTTATATCTTAAGTCTTTGCAAAAACTTCCAAATTCTAATCTTCAATTTTTGAAGACTTAAAATAAGATCTACAGTTTTATTAGCAGATTTCCAACGTACGTTTATATGCACTTTATCTAAGACATATATGAAAAAAGTCATAATTACTTTATATAATTCAAATAAGCAAAAGATTTATAATTAATTTTCTATTTGGTTTTGAATTCCTAATAATTAGGTGTTTCTATACATATGTAGTTCGAATAAGGTAATATTTAATAACTATAATTTTAGATTATTTTAAAATCTTAAATATTAGGAGAATACTAAATTACGATTATATCCAATATATAACCTATTTTTAAAGGGTAAAAAAGACGAACGATATTTTGCTAAAGACCTTCGTGCTTTTAATATAGTATAAATAATGTCGTTACAAAGTAACTCTGTAGTTTTTAAAACATCAAATATTTTGAAAAGAAATAATTTGTCAAACAACTAATTTTGGAATAGGACATTGTAAAAAGTTTATAGTTGGGATGCACAACGCCATAAAACTTTAGGGAATCTTACGGGAATGTGAAAAAAAAAAGATACTGCTATTTACCAACAACTAGTTATTTTAGTCATGTTATCAATAATAGCCCCAAAAAAAATTATTAATAATATACAACATTCAAAAAACTTAAACAAAAAAAAGATTTTTTTTCAATGGGTATTGTTGCGATTTGTTGAAAATACATAGATAAAGCAATATACAAATTTTGGCGAAGTTTGAAGGTGAATTAAACTAGTTTAGAGTCAAAATTCATTATCAATGATCTATAATATTTAAAAAATTAGGCAAAAAATATTTTTTTCAATGAGTATGGTTGAAATTCGTTGAAAACATATAGATGAGGCAATATACAAATTTGAGTAAGATTCGAGGTGATTTGGGCTAGTTTGGTAACAAAATTAGTAATAAAATCGAGTTAAAAAAATTCTTCTGCGACACGTGTATCATGTATGTATCTCACACACAGATATACATGTATATACATATGATACATATGTTATCACGACCCAAAATCTAACCATGCCGTGATGGCGCCTATCGTGATACTAGGCCAACCACTTATTTCCAAATACTCCATTTTCAAATAAAAACTTAAGAAAATCATAATTTTAACAGAAATCCAATAAGATAAAAGTAGAAATTAAAATCCAGTGAAAAGAAAACACAACCCCGACCTCGGGTGTCACTAAGTCATGAGCCAAAACTACAATATCTGTTTGAAATAACATGACCAACACGGTTTGAGAATATCCAAATAAATATACTAAAGGAAGATAAGGAAAGGAGAAGTGTTGCGACTAAAACACTTACGCAAGTGTACGCGATCTTCAAGTAATATAGTAATAAGTAAAGTATTGTTCCCACGAGGACTTATGATCAACTTACCAACTGATGCAAACTCAAACAATTACCGATTCAAGCTAATTCATCACAAAATACATAAATAACCAATTTACAATTTAACTAGTAGACAAACAATAATACAACGCAAAGTTACTACGCCACTTATGAAATTTTCTTTTAAAAATTAATAAGAGAGATATTCCAAGGTTATGGGCTTGCTAGAGATCATGCTACACTTTTAGCTTAAAAATAATTTATTGAATTATCTAGGTTATTGATTATAGGGTTGATAATATCCATAAGAATTTGTCGAATTCTTATGCACCTATTCAAGTTAAATTAATACCTATATTTCTATGGCATTAATATTAACTCAAATGCATTTACAATTCCTATTTTTCAATCAAACAAGGCAATTAAGTATAGTTCTATCTTAATTGCGAATCTTTCACCCGATGCCCAGGATCCAGATCTTGTTCTATTTGATTCTATATGCAATCAAGAATTTCCTTTTTCAAGTTTAACTCAAGATTCATAAATAGTATTTCACGCAGTAAAATAATTAACAGCAGAATCAAATAAACAACCCTTAACGATAAATTCAAGATCATCAATTTAAGCTTCAAACAACATAATCATTTAACACCCATAACCCCAGAATATTTGGGTTTTTAGCTACTCATAATTATACAAACATCAACAATATAAGTCTTAAACATCAAATAAATAGATACTAGAAGAAAGTTTAGCAAAACTCTTTTAATCCTTGCTCCAAAGTGTTGCCTTCTCTTGATTTTGATCCTCCAAGATGGATCTCCTCCTCTTTTTCTCTCCAAAAACAGGTCTCTCCCTCAATAATGGATGCTTTTACCCTTTTTAATCGTGTAGGAAGGAGTTTTGACAATTATACCCTTTTAAGACCGAAATAGAGTAGCTCTATGATTTTTACACGTCCGCGATGCCCCGTGCGACGCGTACATGGATTGGACAGAGGCAGAAGACATTTTAACGGAGCAAAACAATGCAGCGCATAATTTTGCACTACCGCGGCGCCCCACGGGGCGCGACAGTGCAATTTTTTTATTTGTTTTGCTATCCCGGCTTGCTTTGCGACCCCTGAACATGACCCAAACTTGGTTTATTTAGCTTTTAATCATACTTCAAAGCCCAAAATTAATCAAATTCATCCCAAATTAAATTCTTAAGTCGGATTAGCTTCCTGCAAGGCATAAAGCATGAATTTAATACAATTCATTATCATTTAAGCTCAAACCTTTGTAAAATCCAATAATTAAAGTGTTTTTACAACGACTAAAACACGAGTTTTTAGCCTATGATCAACACCCTACACTTAAACCATTGCTCGTCCTCGAGCAATTAACATGCATTTCACATAAGGACGACCTTTTTATCAAACAATTTCTCTAACAACACATGCCGACACTTAAGTACCAGTACATAATTTTTCAACCTCAAGACACGACTCACAAGTGCCACACATTTTCATAACTTGCTTATTTACTCTAACACAAAGGTCAAAACGTTTCCTTGCTTTTACAAATCATGTGCCCTCCCACAACTAATATAGACTAGTTCCTCTCAACATAGTATTCACAAATATTTAGGAACTCAAAATAGGAAGAATTAACTCACTCTTAGAATTGAAATTCATGTGCAATAGATGACATACCATATGCTTGCCCCTAGTGTAATACTCTACTAATTGAGCTTATTAAATCAAGGATCAAATAGGACTTTAATTGGTTGTAATGCAGGCTGAGGAAGGGTGTGATAAATATAGAATGTAGTAGCTACACCTCTTTGAGCACTTCATACATACACCATTTTATTTCACAATGTCAACATTACTCTTATGTTAAACCATCTCCAACTTTTTTGAGGTCTTACATAATAACAACAAATCCCATTCGCTTTAAGCACCATAAGCTAGGGAATGTTACTAATGAAAATCACCCATCCGCTATATATATACACATATATATATGTATTTTTTTTATTTGTTGCAAATAAACCAACAAATCTCTTCTCAACTTTAACAATATTAAAACAACACTAAGTGCTCATGAGAGATAGAGGTTCAAACAACTGATATATATACATAAAATGGTAAGGTTTATAATGTGGATGCCAAAGAAATAGGAATAACGGCTCAAAAGGTTTGACTAAGATATATACAACTAGGTGGGAACAATTATAAAACTGGTTTAACAAAGAAATGCCTATATCATCTCCTAAACTGAATAATGCTACTATTTCGCTTTGTAAAACACTTGAGGGCAAGTTCTAGATATCAACTGTTATGCATAGAATATTTCAACAACCTTACTCACACATGGCACACAACTCATTCAAGCTTGGATCTTTCTCGACTCTCTAGTTAAAGTAGTTAACCATAGTTATAAATACACAATTTAAGGCACTTTAGAATCAAGAACTGAGATTGAGCATCACAAATAAGGTACATACAACTTCTGAAGCATGTGCATTTGAGGAGATTAACTCTGTGAGTTAGGAACTTTTTATTCAATTGAACTAAAAAATTACACTATACCCGGTTCAAATACATCCTTAGAAAAGAACCGTGACGTAAAGAAAAACCAAGGGATTTTTTTTAATTTAAACCAAAACTAGCATACACTAAACTAAAATAAAAAGAAGAATTTTGTTTTTTAAATTTTTACAAATTTCAACTTCATTTCCCTCAAGAAAATCCATCGTCGGGAAAAATCGAAATTAGTACAACTACTACCTACAAACGCTATAGTCTACCAAACCAAAAAGTTTAACAGTCTAAACAAAATCAAACAACCAAAAATACGAAAAATACAAAAGTAAGTACATTACAATAGGGGCAAGTCACCCCACACTTAAAATTTGCGTTGTCCCTAATGCAAAAGATCAAAAATAGATAAGAAAAGAGACTCCCTGAGGCCATTGGCCTAAGCATCTTCATCCTCAAAGGTGCGCAAATATTCCTCGTCATTTGAGGGAATAGAGTTCACATCTTCATCCGGTGGAAATTGTCCTTGCTGAGCCATTCCTAACCACTGTTGAGTGAAAGGAGATAGAGGGTGATTTTGTTGTAACTCTTCCAAGTTCACTTCCCCTCTAGAAGCGTGAAG